TCTCTCTCTGTCATCTGTAGGAACCACACACACTCTCTCACTGTCATCTGTAGGAACCACACACACACACTCTCTCTGTGTCATCTGTAGGAACCACACACACACACACTCTCTCTCTGTCATCTGTAGGAACCACACATACACTCTCTCTCTCTCTCACTGTCATCTGTAGGAACCACACACACACACACTCTCTCACTGTCATCTGTAGGAACCACACACACACACTCTCGCTGTCATCTGTAGGAACCACACACACACACGCACTCTGTTATCTGTAGGAACCACACACACAGACACTCTCTCTGTGTCACTGTCATCTGTAGGAACCACACACACACACTCTCTCACTGTCATCTGTAGGAACCACACACACACTGTCTCTCTGTCATCTGTAGGAACCACACACACACTCTCTCTCTATCTGTCACTGTCATCTGTAGGAACCACACACACACACACTCTCTCACTGGCATCTGTAGGAACCACACACACACTCACTGTCATCTGTAGGAACCACACACACACACTCTCTTTCTCTGTCATCTGTAGGAACCACACACACACACTCTCTCACTGTCATCTGTAGGAACCACACACACACTCTCTCTGTCATCTGTAGGAACCACACACACACACTCTCTCATTGTCATCTGTAGGAACCACACACACACACTCTCTCTCTCTCTCACTGTCATCTGTAGGAACCACACACACACACTCTCTCTCTGTCATCTGTTGGAACCACACACACACACTCTCTCTGTCATCTGTAGGAACCACACACACACACTCTCTCTGTCACTGTCATCTGTAGGAACCACACACACACACTCTCTCTGTCATCTGTAGGAACCACACACACACACTCTCTCTGTCACTGTCATCTGTAGGAACCACACACGCGCACGCGGGCTGAAGGGCGTCAAGGTCGGGACAGCGGGAACTCCCCCCCCACCCTCCCACCCCCCTCCACCCCTCCTCGCCCACACAGCCCCCCCCTCCACACTCCCTCGGCCCCCACCACCACCACCCCGCTCAAGCCTCTCACCGCTTGCGCGTTCAGCGACCAACCCTATCACCAACTCACCACGCGGGCGCGTCTCAACCTCGTCGAAATCATGAAAGCTCAGCAGGTGCACGGCAGGCTGCCCTCGGACTATCCGGGCAGTGGTTGGTGGTGATGCTGGTTGGTGCTGGCTACGCTGCTGCTGCTGCTACTCCTGCTGCACGTGGCTAATGATGTCGATGCTTACCCTGAGCCCTCATTACTTTGATAGTGGCGTTGCCTTTGAGCTGTACGCCTTTTGGCGTCCTCTGGTCTAGCAACAATTGAGACGAGGCTCAAAAGAAAGCCGTCCCTTGGTGTGGTTTCAAGGACAATGCATATATTATCAGAGTGTGTGTTTTTTTGTTTGCATTTTGACCACAAGTATTGTAGTTAATGCACACGTGATTCCTCGTAAAACGGTATCAGTTTTGTTGGCAGAAAAAAGGGGAATAACCCGATTATTAAGAATATGCTGCTCCTGCTGCTGCACGTGGCTACCTGTAGTGGAACAGCAATAGGCTGCTGCTGCTCCTGCTGCACGTGGCTGCGAGGGTTGGTGGGTCACCGCATGCACAAACGCTGCCGTGACAACTCCCCTCCTATCCGTGGATGTCGAGGGAGGTTGCCCGTGCCCCCCCCCCCCCCCCCCGGCTCCCCTGGAGATGGCCGCTCCGCCAACTGTGGACTCGTATCCATCCGTGCCATCCGCACGCGGGAAGAAGACCGAAAATGACCCCGAGACATCGTGCAGCAATGACGACAAATTCGAAGATAAACCCGAGGCTTCCACAGATGGGGCAAGTGCCGTGAGCGAGCAGCTCCCCACCACCGACAAAGACAAAGATCCCCCGCATAGCCCGAACAGCGTTTTGTGGCAAGTGCTGTGAGCGAGTAGCACCTATGAAGGCCCGAACGGCACACGAGGGCGCGTGGGTGGCCAGCACCACGCCGGGCCGCCTCTGTCGCCCCAGTGCCGATGTTTACTACACACCGCACCAGCTACTCACACAGGAGCGGGCGATGAGTCCGCGAGCAGGTGAGTAGGGCAGGTGAGCAGGTGAGTAGTGCAGGTGAGCAGGTGAGTAGGGCAGGTGAGCAGGTGAGTAGTGCAGGTGAGCAGGTGAGTAGGGCAGGTGAGCAGGTGAGTAGTGCAGGTGAGTAGGTGAGTAGGGCAGGTGAGCAGGTGAGTAGGGTAGGTGAGTAGGTGAGTAGGGCAGGTGAGCAGGTGAGTAGGGCAGGTGAGTAGGTGAGTAGTGCAGGTGAGCAGGTGAGTAGGGCAGGTGAGTAGGTGAGTAGGGCAGGTGAGCAGGTGAGTAGTGCAGGTGAGTAGGTGAGTAGGGCAGGTGAGCAGGTGAGTATGGTAGGTGAGTAGGTGAGTAGGGTAGGTGAGCAGGTGAGGAGGGCAGGTGAGCAGGTGAGTAGTGCAGGTGAGTAGGTGAGTAAGGCAGGTGAGTAGGTGAGTAGGGCAGGTGAGCAGGTGAGTAGGGCAGGTGAGTAGGTGAGTAGGGCAGGTGAGCAGGTGAGTAGTGCAGATGAGTAGGTGAGTAGGGTAGGTGAGCAGGTGAGGAGGGCAGGTGAGCAGGTGAGTAGTGCAGGTGAGTAGGTGAGTAAGGCAGGTGAGTAGGTGAGTAGGGCAGGTGAGCAGGTGAGTAGGGCAGGTGAGTAGGTGAGTAGGGCAGGTGAGTAGGTGAGGAGGGCAGGTGAGCCGGTGAGTAGTGCAGGTGAGTAGGTGAGTAAGGCAGGTGAGTAGGTGAGTAGGGCAGGTGAGCAGGTGAGTAGGGCAGGTGAGTAGGTGAGTAGGGCAGGTGAGTAGGTGAGTAGTACAGGTGAGCAGGTGAGTAGGGCAGGTGAGCAGGTGAGTAGGGCAGGCGAGCAGGTCAGTAGGGCAGGTGAGCAGGTGAGTAGGGCAGGTGAGTAGGGCAGGTGAGTAGGGTAGGTGAGCAGGTGAGCAGGTGAGTAGTGCAGGTGAGTAGGTGGAATGGTGGGTTGGTGAGTCGGTGAGGGTTGAGAGAGTGACCGCGTTAGACCGCGGGCACGGGGAGGAGATGGGAATTGCGAGGTTCAGTGTGGCCAGGAGGAAAGACGGCGTCGTGAAGACACTGACACACACACAGTGACACACACACGTGTTCACACATTGACACACATTGACACACACGCGTGTTCACACACTGACACACACGCGTGTTCACACACTGACACACACGCGTGTTCACACACATTGACACACACGCGTGTTCACACACTGACACACACGCGTGTTCACACACTGACACACACGCGTGTTCACACACATTGACACACACGCGTGTTCACACACTGCCACACACGCGTGTTCACACACATTGACACACACGCGTGTTCACACACTGACACACACACGCGTGTTCACACACTGACACACACACGCGTGTTCACACACTGACACACACACGTGTTCACACACTGCCACACACGCGTGTTCACACACATTGACACACACGCGTGTTCACACACTGACACACACACGCGTGTTCACACACTGACACACACACGCGTGTTCACACACTGACACACACACGTGTTCACACATTGACACACACACGCGTGTTCACACACTGACACACACGCGTGTTCACACACTGACACACACACGCGTGTTCACACACTGACACACACACGTGTTCACACATTGACACATGTACACATGGATATACGCGCCCGGGCCCGCCTTTATCCTCCCAAGTGGCGATGTTTACACTCCGCATCGGGCACTCGTTTGAGGCTGAGTCGACCTAGGGGAGGCCCAGCAGCGGTTCAGATAACCGTCACTGGGAGTTGGTGGCCGTGAGCGGGAATCGAACTCGGGTCGCCGGGTTCGTAGCGCAGCGCTAACCGCTGCACCACCGCTCCCCGCAACCACTGACACACACACATAGTGACACGCGTGCGCACTCCGGAACGCCGTGTCCTCTCCGATCCTCCTCTCCCGTTGCCCATTTCTCACTTTTTCATTTCTCGGATGAAGAGGTTTGAGTGCTAACGCACTCCCACACTGACACAACCACGCAAAGCTAAAGATCCCCCGGTACGAGCCTTAACAGACTGCAGGGCCAAGTGCTGCTCACGTGTAGCACCTATGAAGGCTGCCCCCCCCACGGCACACGAGGGGGGATGGGCGGCCCCACGCGCCCGGACGTCTTTGTCTCCCCAGTGGCGATGTTTACTACGCACCGCGCACCAGCAACTCAGCTGAGGCTGAGTCCACCCACGGGGGGAAATCGCCACTGGCTCAGATCAGCGTCACAACCACGGACGCGCAAAATGCACCACCACTCCCACGCTCACAGGTGCACAGTCATACAAAGATCGCCCGTATAGCCGACGCAGGCTTTTGGGGCAAGTGCTATGAAGACCGGCATGGCGTACACAGTGGGGTTGTGCTTTTCACTTCCCGGCCACCTTTGTCTCCCCCAGTGCCGATGTTTACACACCGCAGCAGGTAATCATTTGAGGTCGAGTCAACCTAGGAGAAGCCCAAGACCGGTTCAAATCTTTGTAACTGCTTAGAACTTGTAGGAACACAAGGGAGACATGGGGAGACACGGGGAGACACGGGGAGACTCTGGGAGGCACGGGGAGGCTGTGAGAGACACGGGGAGACTCTGGGAGACACGGGGAGACACGGGGAGACACGAGGAGACCCTGAGAGACATGGGGAGACTCTGGGAGACACGGGGAGACTCTGGGAGACACGGGGAGACTCTAGGAGACACAGGAGGATCTGGGAGACACGGGAGGATCTGGGAGACACGGGGAGGCTCTGGGAGACACGGGGAGGTTCTGGGAGACACGGGGAGACCCTGTGAGACACAGGGAGACCCTGGGAGACACGGAAGGATCTGGAAGACACGGGGAGGCTCTAGTAGACACGGGAGGATCTGGGAGACACGGGGAGGCTCTGGGAGACACGAGGAGACTCTGGGAGACACGGGGAGACCCTGGGAGACACGGGGAGACTCTGGGAGACGCGGGGAGGCTCTGTGAGACACGGGGAGACCCTGGGAGACACGGAAGGATCTGGAAGACACGGGGAGGCTCTAGGAGACACGGGAGGATCTGGGAGACACGGGGAGGCTCTGTGAGACACGGGGAGACCTTGGGAGACACGGGGAGGTTCTGGGAGACACAGAAGGATCTGGGAGACACGGGGAGACTCTGGGAGACACGGGGCATCTCACCTGCGAGCTGAGAGATTTGTCGGCGCCGGGACACGAGAAGGTGACGAACTCGTGACACCTCTTGTGCACCACAAGACTGCACACTGACACAGCACCACCACCATCATCACCATCACCACCACCACCATCATCACCATGAAGCCCCCCCCCCCCCCCCCCACCGTCATTCCGCTGCCACAGGAGGACGTGGAGCTGAGTGGACTTGCCGATGACTGGTACCAGCGGTGTCAAGATCGGCGTCTGTGGAGGAGGCTCGTGAAGGACGCTACTGGGCATTTGGAGGCAGTCGCCCTCCAAGAACAACGGAGGGCGGAGGAGCGATGCTCACAACAACGAGCGGAGCGCCGGGTGGCTAACACACAGCAAGTTGGCACAGTAGGGGGCACAGGTGGTTCATCAGCCAGTCATCTCAGTCAGTCGACCCTTGGCACCTGGGTCTGCCCCGTGACCTCCTGCCAGCGGGCGTTCGACACTTCACGTGGCCTCAACGTGCACCTAGCCTGGCACAAGCGCCATGGTGACGTCACCGCCACTTAGTGGCGAATGGCGGTTGTTGTTGTTGTTGTTGTGTCTGTGTGTATTTGTTTGCTTCTTGAGGCATGCGGTAGCGTAGCGGTTAAGGTGCTGCAATTGCGTGACATCAATAAAACTGCCTTTGTGCTACAGGACCAGTGCCGGATGAAGCGAAGTGCGGGGCCTGTAGCATATTGATGTTATAAAGGGGCCCTGAATAAATAAATAAAAACACGTAAATATTAAAACACAAAATGTTTCACTTGCATAGTAAAGTTATTGTATTTTTTCATTTGCTATACAGCCAGATAATACGACACGTCGCTAACCTTAAACACCCAGTCGTTCGTGAAAGTTGAAGGCGGTATAGTACTATAGTAATAGAGCAAGTGCAGAATCACTGAACCGAAATTGACAGCTTGAAAGCGTTTAGCGCGGGGCCCTTGAAAGAGCGGGGCCCGTAGCATTATGTAGTAGCTACGACATGTGTAGTACATATGTAGTAGCTACATGTGTAGTACATATGTAGCTACTACATTTGTAGTACATATCTAGTAGCTACTACATTTGTAGTACATATGTAGTAGCTGCTTTGCTACGAGGCTAATCGGGCACTGCACAAGATGTGTTTCCGTGGGGATTGGAAGGGTTGCCCTGGTGGGTTCCCACACACCACCCGCTTCATGCAACTCTGCCCGGGCCCTTCACGAGGTCACTTGCCCCAGTCGTCTCGTTGCACGGGAGACTCTCTGTAAGGTTAGCCGCGTGCGTGGCACGTCAGAAGGGAGGGGGGGTCCCGCAGATCGATCGTAACGACTACCGGGGCTTCTCCCTCCCCCCAGTGTGGAAGAGGAGGAGTGGGTGAGTGGGGGGTGAGTAAGTGGGGGGGGGGGTGAGTGGGGTTAGTGGGGGGGGTAATTCCTGGCAGAGGTTTAACGTCGCCTTGCCAGGCACGTCGAGGAAGAGACCAGAACGATACTCCGCTCCGATGCCAAATTTCCTGTTCGTCTGCTACAGCAGAGGTGCAGGTGAATTGTCAATACGACTACCATGCCTCCTTCAATACGACCTACCATCCCTCCTTCAATACGACTACCATGCCTCCTTCACTACGACCTACCATCCCTCCTTCAATACAACCTACCATGCCTCCTTCAATACGACCTACCATGTCTCCTTCACTACGACCTACCATCCCTCCTTCAATACGACCTACCATCCCTCCTTCAATACGACTACCATCCCTCCTTCAATACAACCTACCATGCCTCCTTCACTACGACCTACCATGCCTCCTTCACTACGACCTACCATTCCTCCTTCAATACAACCTACCATGCCTCCTTCAATACGACCTACCATGTCTCCTTCACTACGACCTACCATCCCTCCTTCACTACGACCTACCATCCCTCCTTCACTACGACCTGTCATCCCTCCTCCAATACGACCTACCATGCCTCCTTCACTACGACCTACCATCCCTCCTTCACTACGACCTACCATCCCTCCTTCAATACGACCTGTCATCCCTCCTCCAATACGACTACCATCCCTCCTTCAATACGACTACCATGCCTCCTTCAATACGACCTACCATGCCTCCTTCAATACGACCTGTCATCCCTCCTCCAATACGACTACCATCCCTCCTTCAATACGACTACCATGCCTCCTTCAATACGACCTGCCATCCCTCCTCCAATACGACCTACCATGCCTCCTTCAATACGACCTGCCAACCCTCCTTCAATACGACCTGCCATCTCTCCTTCAATACAACCTGCCATCCCTCCTTCAATATGACCTGTCACCCCTCCTTTCCTGACCTTGGCCAAGGCCTACGACACCACTGTGCCAGGTGTTAGGGCTTCGTGTTGTTGTTATTATTATTCGCTGTGCTTTTGGGATTCCCCGACTCTCTTTGCTCATTAAGGGACCTCCGTTATAGGCGGAGGTCGTGGGGGGTTCCCCTTATGCCCCCCACATTAGGAATCGCGGGTGCATATAATGATAACTTTTTAAAAAAAATTCTTACCTCTAAACTACTGAAAATAAATTAATAAAGGTGTCCAGTGCCCGTGCCCCCCCCCCCCCCGCCAATCTCGACCCATGACCTTCGTGACGGTGGGCAGGCCCGGGTAAAGCTGCATGGACCGGGTTGGAGTAAACTTTGTGCGTGTTCACCTTGGGGTGCCACAGCCATCCCCCCCCACCCCGGACACTCTTTAACACCTTCGCGAGCGCGTCGTGTGTGAAACTTTCCATGGTTATTTCCATCAGCTGGTACGGACAACAGCGGGTAGCGGCGGATGGGCGGATCTATGCCACGGAGTGCGATCAAGGGAATGAGGGGGGGTGGCGGGGTGAGAGAGGCGGGGGGAGGGAGAGGGGAGGCAATGAGGGTGGATGAGGGGGGGGGTGTCTCCTTTTTACAATAAAAGGGCTGCTTCCTCTTTCAATGTCAAAATAAGAGAAGAAAAAGAAAAATAACCTCGCTATCAGCACCCCGGGGGGGGGCAGGTTCTGCAAATCCACACGCAGACCCACACGGAAAGCCCAAAACCGCGGTGTGGCGCGATGCAGAGGTTTGCCCAGGTTCGAAGCCCGGCGGCCGCCCCGGTAAATACTGCGGGCGGTTTTGAGCGTGAAACGGAACGTAAAAAAAAAAGAACCACGTGCAGTCTGCTTTGCGATGGGTCGACCGACGATCCCGTAACACCGTTCGCAAGGAGTTAAACAAATGTATTTATTTTAAAATATATATACATGTAACTACTTTTGTATTTTTACCAGGTAAGGCCCGCTGAGCTATGTAGCTCTTTTTTCAGAAGCGACCCGGCTATCACGAATGATAGGCTCAGCGAAGTGGCTTTTCATCATCACCATCGCGTGGAAATGTACAACAGCCCATATACTCTGAACGCGCGACGCTCATTCCTAAATGCGGGATGGGAAAACAAACGGGAGGACCCGGAGAAAAATCCACGCGACCACGGGGAGACGGAGAGAGACACGGCACACTCCAAATATACAGCGGCAGGCGTCGTCAGGGTCGGAATCGAACCCACAACTTCCTGCGTACCGGGCGAGGGAGTGAACATCTCCTAGCCACCACGATGCCGACTGTTGTTGGGCCATTGTTGCGTGCGTCCAAATTTCACGAATATGAAAATAACCTGAAAAGCAACCACCTTCAACCCCGCCACCATCCACCACCCCCCACCACCACCCACCACCCACCACCACCCCCCACCACCCACCACCACCCCCCACCACCCACCACCACCACCCACTACCCCCCACCACCCACCACCCACCACCATCCCCCACCCCCCACCACCACCCACCACCTCCCACCACCACCCAACACCTCCCACCCACCACCCACCACCATCCCCCACCCCCCACCACCACCACCCACCACCACCCCCCACCACCCACCACCACCCCCCACCACCCACCACCACCACCACCACCCACTACCCCCCACCACCCACCACCATCCCCCACCCCCCACCACCACCCACCACCACCCACCACCACCCCCCACCACCCACCACCACCCACCACCACCCAACACCTCCCACCACCACCCCCCACTCCCCACCCACCACCTCCTACCACCACCCCCCACCACCACCCACCACCACCACAACCCACCACCGACCACCACCCCCCACCACCACTCCCCACCACCACCCATCACCTCCCACCACCACCCCCCACCACCCCCCACCACCACCACCCACTACCCCCTACCACCCACCACCACCTCCCACCCTCCACCACCACCCACCACCTCCCACAACCACCCCCCACCACCACCCACCACCTCCCACCACCACCCACCACCACCACCCACCACCACCCCCCACCACCACCCACCACCACCACCTCCCACCCCCCACCAACACGACGTGGTGGGTTGCCAGCACCATGCCGGGCCGCCTTTGTCTCCCCAGTAGTGATGTTTGCACGCCCATACAAGGATCTCGTGAGAGGCCGAGTCGATCTGGACCCAATGCCGATGTTTGTCGCCGTGAGCGGAAATCGAACACGGGTCACGGGGCTCGTAGTACAGTGCGCTAACCACTACACTACCGCTACCATGTATACAAAGATAAAGGTGACCCGTGTAGCCTTAACAGACTGTCGCGGCAAGTGCTATTAGCGAGCACCTATGATTGCAGGGACGGCACACGAGGGGGTGGGTGGCCAGCACCACGCCCGGCCTCCTTTGTCTTCCCCCAGTGGCCGTGTTTACACAACGCTGCGTCGACCCTAGGGGACGCTCAGGACCGGTTCAGATAACCGCCAGCGGTGTTGGCCGTGAGCGGGAATCGAACTTGGGGCCGGCCGGGTTCGCAGACAGCGGCGTATCGCTGACCTCGCTGCGCGTGACACACGCAAGCAGCTTCTGCTTGGCCGGGGCTCGAGAAGAGATGGAGCGGAATTGGCCGACGGCTCTCATACACAGCAACGGTGTCATGATCGAGGGGGGTGGTAACCGGGGGATGGGGCCCTGCCCCCCCTCTCGTGCAGCGGAGTGAGCGGGGAGGTTTTTCCG